ATCATAGCTATGGAGGTCACTACCAACAGGTGAGTACAATCATATCTATGGCGGTCAGTCTACTAACCACCAGGTGTGTACAATCATATCTATGGAGGTCAGTCTACTCACCACCAGGTGTGTACAATCATAACTATGGAAGTCAGTCTACTGACTACCAGGTGTTTACAAACATAACTATGTAGGTCAGTCTATTGACCACCAGGTGGGTCACAATATGATGCTTGTAAAGTGATGGATGTAAATTAATAGACATGTAAAATGCTGTGATGAGCTATGGTAGTAAAGGGTTGTCAGACTTGGATATTTAGTTCATCGCGATATACAACACTGATTTTCCTGAAATGATGGTTCTCTGTATATTTTTCAGACCCCCATTGGACAAAACCAACATGTATGGTTCCTTTGTTGGAAAGACAGCCTTCTATAAAGATCAACTCTACTTTGAGGTTAAAAATCAGGAAAAAGATATACCTTCCTCGGAGAAGGTGATCAGTATTGGTCTGTGTGAGTTAAACTTCTCAGCAGTGGACTTCCTTGGAGAGAAAGCCTCTGTGGGCTACCACAACACTGGGATGTAAGTTGTTTTTATATACCACAACACTGGGATGTAAGTTGTTATTACATACCACAACACCGGGATGTAAGTTGTTATTATATACCACAACACTGGGGTATAAGTTGATATTACATACCACAACACTGAGGTATAAGTTGTTATTACATACCACAAGACTGGGGTGTATAAAGTTGTAATTACATACCACAACACTGGGGTGTAAGTTGATATTTTATACCACAACACTGGGGTGTAAGTTGATATTATATACCACAACACTGGGATGTAAGTTATGATTATATACCACAACACTGGGGTTTAAGTTATGATTACATACCACAACACTGGGGTGTAAGTTGTTATTATATACCACAACACTGTGGTGTAAGTTGAAATTACATACCACAACACTGGGATGTAAGTTGTTATTACATACCACAACACTGAAGTGTAATTTGTTATCAAATACCACAACACTGGGGTGTAATTTGTTATTACATACCACAACACTGGGGTATAAGTTGAAATTACATACCACAACAAAGGGGTGTAAGTTGTTATCACATACCACAACACTGAGGTATAAGTTGTTATTACATACCACAACACTGAGGTATAAGTTGTAAATACATACCACAACACTGAGGTATAAGTTGTTATAACATACTGGCGTGTAAGTTATAATTACATATAACAACACTGGGGTGTAATTTGTTATTAAATACCACAACACTGGGGTATAAGTTGAAATTACATACCACAACACTGGGATGTAAGTTGTTATTACATACCGCAACACTGAAGTGTAATTTGTTATCAAATACAACAACACTGGGGTGTAATTTGTTATTACACACCACAACACTGGGGTATAAGTTGAAATTAAATACCACAACAAAGGGGTGTAAGTTGTTATCCCATACCACAACACTGAGGTATAAGTTGTTATAACATACTGGCGTGTAAGTTATAATTACATATAACAACACTGGGGTGTAATTTGTTATTACACACCACAACACTGGGGTATAAGTTGAAATTACATACCAGGTGTGTACAATCATAACTATGGAGGTCACTACCAACAGGTGAGTACAATCATATAAGGTATAAGTTGTAAATACATACCACAACACTGGGGTATCAGTTGTTATTACATACCACAACACTGAGGTGTTAATTGTAAATACATACCACAACACTGGGGTGTAAGTTGTAATAACATACCTAAGTTGTAAATACATACCACAACACTGGGGTATCAGTTGTTATTACATACCACAACACTGAGGTGTTAATTGTAAATACATACCACAATACTGGGGTATAAGTTGTTATTACATTTCGTAAGAATGAGGTATAAGTTGTAAATACATACCACAACACTGGGGTATCAGTTGTTATTACATACCACAACACTGAGGTGTTAATTGTAAACACATACCACAATACTGGGGTATAAGTTGTTATTACATTTCGTAAGAATGAGGTATAAGTTGTAAATACATACCGCAACACTGGGGTGTAAGTTGTTATTATATACCACACCACTGGGATGTAAGTTGTTATTACATACCGCAACACTGAAGTGTAATTTGTTATCAAACACCACAACACTGGGGTGTAATTTGTTATTACTATGGAGGTCAGTCTACTGACCAACAGGTGTGTACAATCATAATTAAAGAGGTCCTTACCAACAGGTGAGTACAATCATATGAGGTATAAGTTGTAAATACATACCACAACACTGGGGTATCAGTTGTTATTACATACCACAACACTGAGGTGTTAATTGTAAATACATACCACAACACTGGGGTGTAAGTTGTTATTATATACCACACCACTGGGATGTAAGTTGTTATTACATACCGCAACACTGAAGTGTAATTTGTTATCAAACACCACAACACTGGGGTGTAATTTGTTATTAAATACCACAACACTGGGGTATAAGTTGAAATTACATACCAGGTGTGTACAATCATAACTATAGAGAGGTCTGTCTACTGACCACCAGGTGTGTACAATCATAACTATGGAGGTCAGTCTTCTGACCACCAGGTGTGTACAATCATAACTATAGAGGTCACTACCAACAGGTGGGTACAATCATATCTATGGATGACAGTCTACTGACCACCAGGTGTGTTCAATCATAGCTATGGAGGTCAGTCTACTGACCACCAGGTGTGTACAATCATAACTATAGAGGTCAGTCTACTGACCACCAGGTGTGTACAATCATAACTAT